TTACACCAAAGAACACAATCGCAACGGTGAAATTTGGTGGTAACAATATAAATGGTTTGGGGGATGTTCTTTTTCTGCTAATGGCATGGGTAATTTAGAGATAATAGTTGGAAGAATGAATTCAAAAATATACCAATATGTTTTGGACTATAATTTGTATGGGTCAGTAGTAAAGCTTGGACTCCCAAATGAATTGGTTTTGCAACAAGATAATGACCCGAAACATACGGCTAAATCTACGAAAAAATGGCTTATTGAAAACAATGTCAATACACTAGATTGGCCATCACAGTCTCCAAACTTGAATCCAATAGAGAATTTGTGGCGTTTATTAAAATTTAAGTTAAAAAAACATCCAGTTATTGTTTTTGGAGCGTGCAATAGCAACGCTGAGTTTGATTTTAAATTTTTTACAGTTGTGCGTTCATGTACAATAACTCATTTCCAATAGCATTTTCGGATACAACAATACATATATTTTCGTTGTCCTCTTATTACTAAGAGAAAAAACAAGAACAACATCTATTCCATACCTGAAGATGTCTGTAGGAACAGACGAAAGCTTGTAGTAAAAATAAGAACTAATGCGGCAGAAATTTATGGAAACAAGGATCTTTTCATTCATAACGGATTCGGAGGTTTTTGTATATTATTTGAATTGTTTGCGACGATGGATTTCTCGCCAATTAAATCATTAACCTTTGCATTTGTTTTTGTGTGAATAATTCATGAATTTGTAAATTGATTGCACGTTTATCGAAATATATATATATATATATACAGTTAGATAAATCAAACGAACAGATATAAGCAACCGTATATGCGCGTGTTGGCGTGCATACACAGGCAAGGAAATAAATAATCATCAAATTTATTCACGAGGTGTAAACATAATAGTGCTCGATGTGGTTAGACAGACCAAAGAAATATATTAATAAATATACATCTACAAATACCCACGTTTTGGTGTGCGACTTAAGTTTCGCTGGTTTTCCAGTTCATCGGGCACAGTATATCTTGTGTTTTTTTTATAAAAATACACAGATGCCACATAGGAGGGGCGCTGTTTCTTAGACCAAAAATAAAATAAAATAGTACAAAAGATGCAGGAACTGAAATGTAGGTAGAGTCCATTTTTAAAAGAGAGAAAAATAAAAATAAATAAAGGAAAAAAATAGAAATTTCAAATTATTACCGGAGCCTCGGTTCTAGTTCCGGTATTGTAACGATCTCCAGGTTAGATAAGCGGGTATGAAACCTAAAGCTTAATAAAAGAAAAATATATAATAAAAAAGGAATTTAATGTCACTTCTAGTATTTTAAGAGAAACGATTTTCTATGCCTACAGGCTATCATGAGTTCCTTCCGCTTTTTAAGTAGGATTACATTGCTGATAATTTTAGGATGATTTTTTTTTTTTTATAATAGACATAGGTTGCACGCCCCTAACCTCGCCGGAAAATAGCTTGGTTTGGGCTATGAATTCCCAATTTATGTGAGGTGTGTAGGCATCTGTTTTGATGCTCCAGTAGAACTTAGAGAGTGCTGTGGCGTTTCCATAGTTTTTGTTGCTAATGGTCATTTTGCGATGATAGAAACGCTTTTTCGAACTATTAGCGAAATAAAATTTAATCTCGTATTTGTGCTTGATACTAGCCTTATAGATAACTCCTTTATACATGCATTTACCGTTCATGGGACAGAGGGTACATTTACGATAATTACATTTTTAATACACAGGGCTACTATTGCTACTAGTGCTGCTTAAGTATTTCTTAAGGGTTGCACTATTATGTTGGGATAAATATTGATTAAGGTTTTTAGTGCAGCTGTAGCTAACCTTAACGTTGTTCTTGTTGAAGATATTTCTGAGTAAGGGATTATGACTGAAATGTATGTGTACTAACCCAAGAAAGGTTCTACTGATGTTGGTCCTGACGTTAATGTTGAAGGGTGAATTGAATCAAATAATGTAGCGCTTTCTATTCTTAGATTTACTATTGGTATTCACACTAGTGTTAGGGATGTACTTTAGTTCAACATTATGCTTACTTCTATTTAATGGATCAACGTATTTGGTTTTGTATTTGTCAAAGATGTGTTTACTGCTGGAGTTAGTGGAGAGAGCCTATGCTGCACATATTTGTGGAGATTATTAAGGATACACAACGGGTGGTTAGATTCTTTACTAATATATGTATGATTATAAAGTTCCTTATCTTAAGGCATGTACACTCCTCTGGATATATCGAAAGCAGTGTCTACAATCACATTGGCGTTGGCGTTAGTGGTGATATTAAGTCAGTGATCCTTAAAGAATTTGATTAGTTGTTTCCTAAGCCGGTCAGTTTTTTGGGGGATTGGAGTTACGTAGAAGGATCATTCTGTCGTCCCTGTATAGTCCGGTGTTCCCAGTATTGAACATGTATCTGAGCCTCCATAGAAGTAGTATGCCGACCAGCTCACAACCTTCTGCGGAGTCGAACGCACCCATCGCTATAGAAAAAGTTGGGATTGTCTTTTTTGGTCCATAAAGAACCATCGTGGTATAGGATGGGCTTTTGGGTTATATGATTACATCGATATCCTCGTCCGTGATGAATTCTTAGCCCGGTTTATAGCAGCCATTAGTAGATCTTCAGTGATCAACGAGTAAAAATTGAATATTTCAAATTGCATAAAAATACACTCGCTTTTATTTTTAACTAGCAGCATAGCCCGACGTTGCCCATGCTTGATTCAAAAATAGTACGACTCATATAGCAATGGCTATCACTTGACTTAAACTATTTTTGCCCTTCCTTGCCTTTAAAAGAGTGCCCTTTGCCGTGCTGATGTTGCTACGTGCCTTACTTCTTGCCTATCTCACACTGCGAATTTTTTCTAAGCTCTATACTAAAACATTAAATCTGTTACGAAAAAAGAACTAAACAAAATGAACACAAAACGATCAGCTTTAAAAAAGGACTCGTAACTGGAAAAACCGAATGAAAAAAGAATGTTAACAACAAATACTTTTTCACACCCAACCCAGTTCTGCAGAATCAGGATCAACGTTGAGTTTAAGCAAGCGAATGAGACAATTGGAGTAAAGTGCCATGCAGATTTAAATTTTTCCCACTTGTGACGAATGCAGCTATCGATTTTTTTGCATGCTAGCATGCTAGTTAACATTCGTGTCAGTCAGCTGTTGGCTCTCACGCTGGCCAATAGAATCTTCCTGCCTATTCGTGGCAGCCAGCTATAGGCTCTCACACTGGCCAGTAGAAAATGGCCGCAAACTACATGAAAACTGCCGTAGAAGCATGAAAAAATCTATTATTTCCACTATCGATGGGAGTTGGGGAATGCAAAGTCGGCCATGGCATTCCCGCTAATTTGGAGCATGTGCATGTAAATTTTGGTGCAAATCCGTCGAAAATTGCGGCCGTGCATTCGTTACACATACACACACACACACACATAGATACATCCTGCCTTTTATAGATAGAGATATTATTGAACCAATATATAGTGTCTTTGGTATTTCTCCACTGATTGACCCCTGTCACATTCCTGGTGTTATTACAGGCTCTTTCAAGTATGGTTTTGCTGCTTCTTGCCTATATTATTCTTTGTGGGGTTAAGCAATCGTCGGTCTTAAGTTTGGTAGCTGTTGTTCGTGCCTCGCTGTTGATATCATTTTCCCATTCATTTGGGGCGTTCTTGTATACTTTGTTAACTTCCTTACAAATGGTCTTGTGCTAGGCAGCCACGTTATTGATATATAGGTTGCCAGTTTTATCGGATTTGATGATGATTCTGCCGGTGTTAAGTATCTTGGCAAAGTCTATTTTTGTTCATATTCTTCTGTGGGCCATTGTGCTTGGTAACGGATTTGATATTATCAATTACAGAGAATAAGTCCTTTTCGAATTCAAGTAGCAGATCATCGTTAGGGACTTAAATCCAAAGGAATCGGTAGATCCACAGTTATGTTGGTGTTCTCTTTTGGCGTAAAAGAGCTTCCATCGCATTCTACTCACGACACTCTCAATTTTATGCAATAAGCTGATCTCATATTGGTTCTTTTTTAGGGACTATTATAGTTTTAGTGGAGTAGTCCAGAATTAAAGGTTTTATTAAGTAATAACGTATGTGGTAAAGTATACAGTTAGTATACACCGAAGAAAGTACTCGACGTGAGGGAGCAATTTATAGGTATACAGTTAGATAAATAAAAACGACCAGATATAAACAACTGTATACGCGCGTCCTGACGTGAATAGACAGGCAGGCAAATAAATAATCATCAAATTTATTCATGAGGTGTAAACATAACAGTGCTCGGTATGGTTAGACAGAGCAAAGATATATATTAATAAATATAGATATACATATACCTACGTTTTGGTGTGCAACTTAAGTTTCACTGAAAAAATGAACCCTACCTACACTTTATTTACTGCATGTTTTGTACTATTTCATTTTAGTTTTCGTCTATGAAACAGCGTCCCTCCCATGTGACATTTGGGTATTTTTATAAAAGCATAAGATATACTTTGTGTCCGATGAGCTGGAAAACCAGAGAAACTTAAGTCGCACACAAAACTTATATATATATATATATATATATATATATATATATATATATATATATATATATATTATACATTGAGTGTTGGTATTGATAAAATAATGCTCGGCGTATTATAATTTATATTAATAAATTATATATATGATTATTATATTAATAAATTATTTAATATAATTTATATATAAAATATTTATAAAATAAAATATATTATCATATAATATATATATATATATATATATATATATATATATATATATATATATGAAAATGCACATGATAACAATAAAGCAATTTATTCATTCTGTATTTTGTCTTGTAAGGCATATATTTGGGTTAAAAAATTGGGAAATGAAAATTAAAATATAAAACCAAAAAAAGAAACAGCGAAAAAGAGGTATTGATTTCGACATTGAATTACTCAGCAATGATTGAAATTTCTTTTTATACAAACGCCAAACCAAACTTAGCAAATTTCAGTCGATTCTAGCTTTATTTACACAACCAGTCTAAAAGAAGAGCCATTTTCATTTATAACTCCAATCCCTAAAACCTACTGCCTATGTCAGCCTGAGTGGCAAAACTTACCTTGATGAGGCTGCGGCACTATAGTTCACAGAATAGGCTACAGGGTTAGCATATTTAGATAATCATTATTGTAGTGACCTCAACGGTACCTGTCGAAGTTACTACAATAATGATTATGCATATATGCTACTACTGCCACTAATTTAATAGACTAAACTACATTTTTGAGGGCGAAATTTGAGTTGCCTCTGTTTTATTTTTTATTCTTCATTTATCTTACGATTTATAGGCTCTAAGTTTTATCGACACTTTTATTTGCCAACTTTGTCAGAGTTGTAATTTACCAATTGCGAATTTGTTTCCTCATATATATATATACATATATATATATATATAGAGAGAGAGAGAGAGATACACCTAGTGAGCCAGACAAACCTACCTAGGTTTCACCTAAACGCTCACTAGGTGTATCTAGGTCTACTCTACGGTTGTATTGAGCGCTTTTGTTAGTTAGTTGTTTACTCGTATCGGGTTTTTTTCTTTGGGCTTCAGACCTGCATCTGTGCGATTTTTTGTCGACAGAAGTTCATGTTTGTTGCTCTTTCTTTTTTTAAAACCTTTTTTCCCTCAAGATTGATTTGATTAGCAAATCAAAATTCAAGGGTTTTTCGAAACGAGTTTAGTTATCTATATATATATATATATATATATATATATATATATATATATATATATATATATATATATATAAAGTTAAATGTTCAGAGTTGAATCAGACCAGAAAACAGTAGTATTAAAAAGTAAAGTGCTGAATATACGCGAGAAAAAATATAAGTAAAAATAAAAATAACATTTAGAACTTTTAACTTTAAAGCCTGTTATTTTTTTTAAAGAAATTATGTAGCGTTCTTTTTAGTTTTCTGAAATAATGCGTTAAAGTTGTCATTTTAAAAGTATCACCCGAAGAGACGGTCAAGTCGAAACCATGGTCGCGTATTTTAATTGACCTCCTGATTTTTAAAGTATATATATATATATAATATTTAATATTTATATTTTTAAGTTTTATATTGCTTTACAGGTATATTTATAGGGAGCGTTCCAATTTTTTTGTCATATATATATATATATATATATATATATATATATATATATAAAAATGTAGTTTTAAGCTAAGTTTTACTCAGGGCTGGTGCGCACTATACCCGAACCGCGCGAACGGGGATGGCTAAGCCTGTTTAGGGGCCCCCAGACAGTGCTTTGTGACCATCGCTTTCTAATCAACATTTGATTTTTTCTACCTACATTTATATACGTTACAAATTAAACACTAGCCCCAAAATTCCGATGCCCAGGGAATTGTCTCTCGATGCCTCAGAAAACACTTTCATGTTCTTCCGTCTTTCCTTACTAAACTCTGTTAGCTATTTTCTTTTCCTTTATCGCTCCCCACTCTTCTAAGTGCTGCAATGTATTATACATAATATCTGCCAGTATAGAAAAGGCACTTTCCATCCATCTTCGAACATCTTTGTCTTCGGTGACTTCAATGCTCACCACGAAATATGGCTTAAACTGATGTAGTCGATATCTATCTATCTATCTATCTATCTATCTTAGTCATTCTGTTCATATATATCTCATTATTTTCACATCTATCTATCTATCTCATTCTGTTCATATATATCTCATTATGTTCAAATCTATCTATCTATCTATCTATCTATCTATCTATCTATCTATCTATCTCATTCTGTTCGTATTTATCTAATTCTGTTCATATATCTCTCATTTTGTTCACATCTATCTATCTATCTATCTATTTCATTATGTTCGCATCTATCTATCTAATTTTGTTCATATATATCTCATTTTGTTCACATCTATCTATCTATCTATCTATCTATTTATCGTTTTTTAGTGTTTGTTATTAAAATAAAATCATTTGCGTTACAAAATCCTAAGGCAATGGATTGAAGTAGCTAATGTTGGCTTTAGAATATGCTTTAATATCAATTTCATATTACTACAAAATTCCCCTGTAATTGGTCAAAATTCTAAATATTCTTGGGGGCGGATGGGTTGCTTGTAATATGGTTTCATTGAATCTATTCATAGCCTTCATTTTGGCAGTTGGATCCTCGAATCTATTATTACTGGTTGCGAAGGGCGACCCCTATCTACTCAAGCTTCAGGGCCCAGATATATATTTTCAGTCTTCCCACATTTATTATTATTCTTAGTGTATTCTTATCTATCTACAGGTAGAGATAGCCACCATTTAGCCCGGTACGACTATATCGCTTTAGCTATGGAGAGGCAGGCGGCCAAGCGAGGCCAAATTTCATGGTTTCAAGCGAAATTTCTCTTATAAATGATCTCTCAAAATTTTTCATATCCAAACGCAAGCAGAGAGAATTTATTAATCCGACAGAATTTTAGCACTTTCAACGTTATTATTAGTAGATAATCGTATTTAAGTAAGCGCTCTGCTTATATATTAAACAGCATCTTAATTTACATTCACCTACTTCCCGGAAATTTCGCGAAATCTTATTAAAGAAAAAATGGCGCTCTTCGGCAGGCCGAGGAATGGAATGAGATTCGATTCTTGCCTAATTCTTCAAGTATAAAAATAGACATCTGAAGAATTAGTTCTAAGATCCCGGTCCATAGAAAATAAATGAACCTTTAAAGTTGTCTGTTTCTAAATATAATATATATATATATATATATATATATATATATATATATATTTATTTTTTTTTTTTTCAAACATATATTGTTAAATATAACAGACAACGAAGGTCTGTTATGTTTGATCATGAGCCGTTTTAAACTTCGTATAGTTGCATTAATTTCGGGAGAAAATAAAGACAAAAAATGTTCAACATTTGGATATTTTTTATTATGCCGTTCCTTGATCCAAGATTTCAGAACACATGAACCGTCTTCAGAGTAGTTATACAGACATTTAAAGATATTCAACGTCAAAGATGATATTCTGTTTTGTTAACATAGAAGATTGCTATACGATGATAACGGTTGCGGAATAGCAGGCGCGGATCGTAAATTCGTGATACGAATCTGTCTATCTTTCTATTTATCTATCATATATATATATATATATATGAAGAAGTATAGTTTTTAAGGTGTGCTATATTTATGGAATAAAGTGATCAATATCATAGATAGAGCTTATGTAAATATAAATATAAAAGTGAACATTGAAGCCAACACTCAAAGGTGACAGGCTGTTTCATGCTGGACGCAGTTGTCAGGCCAGACGATTGCGTCCAGCATGAAACAGCCTGTCACCTCTGAGTGTTGACTTCAATGTTCACTTTTATATTCATATAATTTAATATATTTAATCTATCTGTATAATCTAATTTATCTCTATTCTAATCTATCTATCTATCTATCTATCTATCTATCTATCTATCTCATTCTCTTCATATCTATCTATTCCTATCTCAACCTGTTCCTATCTATCTATCTATCTATCTATCTATCTATCTATCTATCTATCTATCTCATTCTCTTCATATCTATCTATTCCTATCTCAACCTGTTCCTATCTATCTATCTATCTATCTATCTATCTATCTATCTATCTATCTATCTATCTATCTTAGTCTATTCAAATTTATATATCTTAGTCTATTCAGATCAATATATCTAATTCTCTTCGTATTTATCTATCTTAGTTTTTCAAATCTATATATCTAAGTCTATTCATTATCTATCTATCTATCTATCTATCTATCTATCTATCTATCTATCTATCTTAGTCTATTCATATATATCTACTAGCTAACTAGCTATCTAATCTATTCTCTCTCTCTCTAATTTAACAATTTATTTCATCTCTCTCTCTCTCTAAGTCAATTCATATCCATCTTTGTATCTATCTATCTCAGTCTATTCATATATATCTACTAGCTAACTAGATATCTATCTAGTCTCTCTCTCTCTAATTTATCAATTTATTCCTTCTATCTATCTATCTATCTATCTATCTATCTATCTATCTATCTATCTATCTATCTATCTATCTGTTTGTGTGCGGGAAAAGAAATGAAGACAAGTGGAATTAATGACCGTTGGCTCCTGGTCATTCTGAACCCACATTATCATTCTTCATACCCGAAACGCACATAGCAGAAATGACTCTTCGTTCACCAAAGTTTTAATCTTTAAGGCCAATTTGTTATCCTGGATTCCAATAGTCAAGCTATTTGACATGGATATTGAAATCTTCATCCTCCATTTCAATACTCTACCACTGAGCTAGTTTGCCGCTCGTTTAATTGTATAGCGACGATGATAAATGCTATTGAACAGAACTTTCCAAAGATAAAATGTGGCAAATGCATTAACTCGTGTTTAGTGCATTTAAAAGGGAATTAAAAAAAATCGTTGTTGATATTTGGAAACGAAATGACTGAACCAAATCGCATCAACATTTCTTCATCAGTAAATGAAATGAAAAAGAAAAGTTAAAAATGAAATTAATGTCTGGATACATCAAAGTGCAAGCACAGAATTCAAAATGATAAAAGGAAGAACCACTTAAAACATTATAAAAGTTAATATCTCTCCTTTTAATTTTTCCCGCGCTTTGCTCTTTCTTTTTTTTCTTTCGTTTTATTTCCACTTTAAGGTAATGGTGTCTGCAGCAGCGATGTATAGGTTACCTGGTAAATGTGTTTGGATCATTTTCGACTAATGACAAACATCAACGTTACGTTTGATGACGTTTATTGCTTTGATCTGATCTCTGATGACCTGGAATAGTTCCAAGTTTTTTTTTTCTCATTCTTCGTCTGCAATCTCTCTCTCTCTCACACACTTTCTCTCTTTCTGACCTTTCTCTCTTTCTCTCTCTGATCTTTTTTTTCTCTCTTTCTCTCTCTGACCTTTCTCTCTCTCTCTCTCTCTCTGACCTTCTCCCTTTCTTTCTCTCTCTCTTTCTGACCTTTCTCTCTCTCTCTCTGACCTTCTCCCTTTCTCTCTCTCTCTGACCTTTCTCTCTCTCTCTGACCTACTCCCTTTCTCTCTCTGTTTCTTTCTGACCTTTCTCTCTCTCTCTCTCTCTGACCTTCTCCCTTTCTCTCTCTCTCTCTCTGACCTTTCTCTCTCTGACCTTCTCCCTTTCTCCCTCTCTCTCTCTGATCTTTCTCTCTCTCTCTGACCTTTCTATCTCTCTCTCTGACCTTTCTCTCTCTCTCTCTTTCTCTCTCTCTCTCTCTGACCTTCTCCCTTTCTCTCTCTCTCTGACCTTTCTCTCTCTGACCTTCTCCCTTTCTCCCTCTCTCTGACCTTTCTCTCTCTCTCTGACCTTTCTATCTCTCTCTCTCTGACCTTTCTCTCTCTCTGACCTTTCTCTCTCTCTCTGACCTTCTCCCTTTCTCTCTCTCTGACCTTTCTCTCTCTCTCTCTGACCTTCTCCCTTTCTCTCTCTCTCTCTTTCTGACCTTTTGTGTCCTTTCTTCTTCCTATCTCACACCCTCCAATTTCTTACCCGTTCCCATTTCTCCTTCTGGTCTCATTCCGTACCCACAAAACCAAACTAGTAACGCTCCATCATCACAGAGCAGACCCTGAATTTTCGTCTATCGCAATGAGCGGGTGCCCTCTCAGAGAAGAACCTTGCCTTGGGACTTAAGCTTCCACCCGTAGACCTCAAATGAAACTCGTATATACGATCCATCGTTAAATATACTGGAAAAATGGTGGGCTCCCTGTACCGCCTCAGTAAGCACCTGACTCTTTCTGCTATGCTCTACCTTTAGAAGTGCCAGATCATATCGAAAATGAAATACTGCTGTCATGTCTGGGCTGGAGCTTTCGAGTTTTCACTTTCTAGTCTTAATAAAACCCCTAAGAATTTTTTGAACTTTGACCAATTATAGGGGAAAGCCATATGAAATTGGCTTTCCTATTTAGTACCTCGACTTACAAATGTAACCGCAGTACTAGCAGATACGTATTATCATTTTACAGTTGAAATGGTTAGATGCAACCGTACGTTTTATGGTAACAGTTTTTTTTTTGTTACACTTCTCACTAGTGGAACTCTCTTCCAGATTCTAGCTTTTCAGTCAACTTTGATCTTCAAAAATTTTAAATGTTATGTCAATTGTCATCATCTGTCTCCTTGAGCTCCGTTCTATTATTGTCCTCTCACCTGAATAATGTTTTTTTTTCAGATTCGTTCACTCACAGTAATCCCTTGCATCTTACTTGGTTGGGAAGAAATGATTAAAAAACATAGAATTGACTCTTTATATAGTAAACTTAGCAGGAAATACATTTGAATAAATAGGCACGTACCTATCATTCAGTTATTTGCCATGCGTGATACACGCTTAGTCGATCATGTATCTTTCGATACACGACTGACGAAGTAGATTTTTTCCCGCAGTAGGTTGCCATTTCTTTCTGCGGTAGACCAGTTGCCATCCAAGGCTATAGAATCCGGTCAGTCTGCTATTTACCCATAGTTGAGGGAAGAAGAAGAGGATTCATACCTTTCCCAAGTAAGTGAATGTAATGGATTCGACTGGAATTCGAACTCGGCTCTCCGAGTCCTGAATCCGAGCCGCTATCCATTACAACACCACCACTATATTAAATAACTATATACTATATTAAAATAACTAGAAAAAGCTCAAGAAAATATATAGTTGGTTGGTTTTGATAATGGTAATATTAGCTTTTTCCTTATAAGGAAACACTGGACATTCATTGAGTGAGTAGCCAGTACCATTGTCGGTCGAAATTTATAAAATCTTTCTCTTAAAACAATTTTTGAGGAAAATACGTTTCTCAAGTTCAGTCGCTGTTATCGTTCTTTTCAGTATTGATGGCGGATTCCTTCTTAATATTTTATTTGAAGTAAATGTGAAAAGTCAACATCTCTACCAGTTACATGTGCTATTCATTTTCGTTGTTGTGCTATTGAAAGTTCTCAAGTGATGTGGTTTCTGTTATCTGGTATAGTTCTCTTTTTATGATTATGTAGCGCCAATCCGCAAGGTTGGAAGAAGAATGGAACGAGAGCAGTCTACTCCCGTAGATAAAATAAAGAGTTCAGTTCGGTTGTCTAGATCGACATACCCTTGATGAAGTTATGAGGGCAAAACGACTGAAACGTTGGGATAACAACAACAAAGATGAGGACAATAGTTCCGCATGTAAATAGTGTGAATAAGGATAATTCATCCCAGAAATTCAAACAGAAAAGAAAAAAAAAACTGTCTATAAAACAAACTGTTATGGTCCGGTTCCTTGTACCACGGTGATAGTCCAAGGTAGAACCAATAAAGAAGAACTCGAACACGTATATGGAATAACACAGATATATTACAAACAGGAATATATACAGAGAAGTAGAAAGTGTTAGTACGAACAATCAGGTTTAGTAGTAATTGTCTGAACGCGACTCTGTTTCGCACTCGACTGACTGACTGACTCGCTCTGACTGACTGACAGACCCCTAACGGACCTCACTCCAGACTTCAGACTGAACGGTATTTAGTCACCCCACCACGAGGACATCATGTGGCACAAGGCCGGTTTAACGTGGGATCTCCTAGCCCGTGGGCTCGGCCAAAAATATGCCCTTTGAACCCGTATAAACGGGTTCAGGGTCGGTTTACCTCCCCGAAAGAGACTCCGCCCTTCGACGTAGCCTCGTTCGGGTTCCTCTCCGCCCGAAGGGAGAGAGTTCAACCGATCAGCCAGTGCCGGTCGTCCGACTTCGGACTGAACTCTCTGCTTCCTCTTGAGGCGCAGTATTTATTACGTATTGGATAGTCCATTATGTTATTATGGGTAAGGTCCCATAAAACAAACATTTAAAACTGTTCCTCTATGAAGATTGGTAATTGTGGTGAACCTGCCCATCAGAATTCAATCCACTTCACCATCATTCTCTTTCATTTTCTCCTTTACAATTATAACATTTCCCCTTTTTTCTCCTGTAATTGTTTCTCTTTCCTCCCACTGTCAAGATCCTCTTTCTTACCCCTTTCCCTCTCTTTCCTTTTATTTCACTATTAACTTTCTCTTTCTCCAATTCTCTCTCTCTTTCTTTTTTTCTTCTTTTCAATATCTCTTTCTTATCTTCAGCTCTTTCTTCTCCTTTTTCTTACTTTCATTATCATCGTTCTTTTTCACATCTCCGCCGCTCTCTTTTTTCCTTCTTTATACGCTCTTTATTCTCTCATTAGTTTCCCTGTTTCTTTTCTTTTTTTCTTCTCCTTTTCTCACTACGAATGTGTTTCTTCCTCAGCTCTCGCCATTGCTTTTTTTTTCAATTTCTCGCTTTCACTATCAAATTTTCTTTTTCATATACCACCATTTCTTATCGTTGTCTGTCTTTCACTCTCGAATTTCACTTTCTCTCTCTCTCTCTCTTTTCTTCTTTATTTCTCTCTCTCTCTTTTCTTATTTCTTTCACTCTCGAACTTCTCTTTCTCTCTCTCTCTCTTTTCTTCTTTCTTTCACTCTCGAAGTTCTCTTTCTCTCTCTCTCTTTTCTTCTTTCTTTCTCTCTCTCTCTTCTTCTTTCTTTCACTCTCGAACTTCTCTTTCTCTCTCTCTCTCTTTTCTTCTTTCTTTCACTCTCGAAGTTCTCTTTCTCTCAATCTCTTTTCTTCTTTCTTTCTTTCTCTCTCTCTTTTCTTATTTCTTTCACTCTCGAAGTTCTCTTTCTCTCTCTCTCTCTCTTTTCTTCTTTCTTTCTCTCTCTCTTTTCTTCTTTCTTTCACTCTCGAACTTCTCTTTCTCTCTCTCTCTTTTCTTCTTTCTTTCACTCTCGAAGTTCTCTTTCTCTCTCTCTCTCTTTTCTTCTTTCTTTCTCTCTCTCTTTTCTTCTTTCTTTCACTCTCGAACTTCTCTTTCTTTCTCTCTCTCTTTTCTTCTTTCTTTCACTCTCGAACTTCTCTTTCTCTCTCTCTCTCTTTTCTTCTTTCTTTCACTCTCGAACTTCTCTTTCTCTCTCTCTCTCTCTCTTTTCTTCTTTCTTTCTCTCTCTCTTTTCTTCTTTCTTTCACTCTCGAACTTCTCTTTCTTTCTCTCTCTCTTTTCTTCTTTCT